AAGGGACACAACTGAAAGAGCTCCCAATGGCCAAAGTTGGAACTCTTTGAGCAACAAAATATAGTAGTAGTGGGTTATAACCTAAAGTTAAAATGTGCTCACTCTGATAGAAATAAATGATTGGATGGATGGATGGATGGATGGATAGGAGGGGAGAAGAAAATGATTTTTTCCAAATGATTTACATGGATACTCTGTACTCAAAGATGTAGGACATAATTCCCTAGTCCTTAAGTGTGGGCTATGCATAATGACTTCCTTCCAAGAACACATCCTGGAAAGAAGGAAAGCCAAGTAACTTTAGAGTGGAGAAACTTGACAGACACTACCTCAGCAAGGTGATCAAGGTCAACATCTACAGTGAGAAGTTATGTGGAAAACTTGTGCCCCTGGTATGATGTCATGAGAATGGTATAACCCATAACCCCAGTCTATCATGAGAAGAATATCAGACAAATTACAGTTGAGAGACATTCCATGGCCTGTCCTCCTCAATACTGTCCATCATCAAAAACAAGGGAAGTCTGAGAAACACTCTCAGCTGAGAGGAGCCTAAGGCAACAAGCTGACTAAATTCAATGTGGTCACTTGGATGGGACTCTGGGACAGAAGAAGAACATTGGGTGAAAAAAAAAGAAAAATGTGAATGAAATATAGACTTTAGTTAATGTTGGTGTATCAGTATTGTTTCATTAAATACAAGAAAAGTATGACAATAATGTAAGATGTTAATAGGAGGGGAAATGGAATGTGGGGAATCTAGGCCTCTCTGTAGTATCTTTGGACTTTTTCTGTAAATTTAAAACCACTTTAGAATTCATATTTTATATATAAAATATGTATATATATGTAGAGAAAGACCAATCACTGCCAAAGGACACTATGTTTGGTAAAGTAGGGGGTCAGGGACAATGAAGGACACTCTCAGTGGGACGGATTGGCACAGTGGCTGTAGCAGTGGGTTCACAGAGATCTGTGATTGTGAAGATGGCACAGGACTGGGCAGCAATTTGTCCTGTTGTACGCAAGGCCACCATTACTTGCAGTGGCCTCAGTGGCAACATACAACAGTGTGTGTGTGTGTGTGTGTGCGTGTGCACGTGTGCACGTGTGTGAATGTTAAGAGATCTGAAGGAGATGCTATATGAGAAGTTTTTTACCAAGTGCCTGGCACATGATAGATGGTCCAAAAGACACTGTTTCACCATCTACTGCCTTGCTCTGCTATTCTTCCTTATGATACCCCTTAAGGAGTTGTGTTGTCTTTCCTCCAAGATAACCAAGCTGGTTTAGTTTCTGATAGCTGTTACTTGTCTTCTCTGTACTGAGAAGCTTGCAACTTCCTCTCTTGGTGTTTCTGGCTATTTTTAACTTAAGTGACATTATGGAATTGCATCCATTTTATTTTTCTATGTAACAACTAAGAGATCACACATAACAACTGTACTCACATGGTGGTCACCTTGGTGTATGTGTGCCAAGAGCTTCTAATTAGAGTGACTGTATTTTAACTGTCTTTGGATTTGCTTTTCAAATACAGGAGGCACCTTTTTGGTCTTGGTAAGGAGAGCAAAAAGCAGAAAGTCCTAATTCATTGTTTCTTACTGTCCAAAACCCACTGCCATCAAGTTGATTCTGACTCATAGTGACCCTAGAGGACAGAGTAGACCTGCGCATAGAGTTTACAAGGCTATAAATCTTCACAGGAGCAGACTGCCACAGCAGAGCAGCTGATAGGTTTGAACCACCAGCCTTTCAGTTAGCAGCCAAGTGTTTACCCACTGTGCAACCAGGCTTCATAATGAGGTGCAATATTTTAATGAGGCAGGGAAGGTTTTCTTTCAGTATTGGGGTTAAGCACTTGGCTGCTGTCTTAATTATCTAGTGCTGCTTAATAGAAGTACCACAAAGCAGATGGCTTTAACAAGCAGACATTTATTCTCTCACAGTTTAGGAGGCTGGACGTCTGAATTTAGGGTGCTTTCTTGGTCAGGGAGTGTTCCTTGTCTCCTTTCAACATCTGTGGGCCCTGAGTTCCTTGGAGATCTCCCTGTGGCTTGGCGTCAGTCTTCCCCTGGGTCTAGGAGGTTCTCTGCTCAGGGACTCAGGGTCCAAAGAATGTCCTCTATTCCCAGATCATTTTTCTCTTCTCTTCTTGCTTCTCTCTCCTTTTATCTCATGCAAGATAAAAAGTGTGACTCAAACAGAGGTGTGACTGTGACTTGCATCACTCCCTCTTATAAGGCTGTGGCTCAAGGCACATCCCACATTGATCCTGCCTCATTAACAGATAGTGGTTAGGATTTACAAATGGGAGACAACCACATGATACTTGGGTCTAGCCAAGCTGCCACTTATTTTTGGAGGGCACAGTTCAATCCAATCAGGTCTGATCCAGCTACTAACTGAAAGGTTGGCAGTTTGATTCCACCAAGAGGCACCTCAGAAGAAAGCCTGGTAATCTACTTCTGAAAGATCACAGCTGTTGAAAACCCTTTGGAGCAGTTCTACTCTGACACTCATCGGGTCACCATGTGTCAGAATCGATAGCTCTAGGGCTGGGGTTTGCCTAAAAGAGAAACCATCCTGTTGTGAGCAAGACGTCATTGGCCCCATGGATTCCTCTGTGGTCATGACTTGCAAAAATTATATGTGTATGTACTTGTGCACGTGTGTGTACATATGTGTATGTATTCCTCCTTTCAGGATTAGCAGATAATAACCCACACCATACCCACTCAGCACTTCACTTACTATCTGATGCTCCCATTTTCCTTGGTCACCAAGCTGGGCTTACCATCCACCTACACTTTTGTCTCTTCTCCTTAACTGTGTATATTTGTGGAAAAAATTACAGGGCAGCTGAGTTGCCAGGCCTGATTCAGATTCCTGTCTAGTAAAGTGAATATAATACTTAAAAAGCCTGGCCGCAAATGTCTGTTTAATCATTCTTGATTGCTGCCCCTAGTCTGACTTTGAACATTTCTGAATATTCAGTGCCTAGAAGCTAGGACAGAATGGCTATCTCAAACGACCAGAAATTTGCTTCCCGTGTTTCTGAATGTGAAAGCCGGGATGTGACTTTGGGGCAGTATCGTCTCTTCCTTTGTGAAGTAGGTATTACTTTGGTGGGTCTTCTCGGTTGTAGCCACTTGAGTTAAGTAACTAGTCCTGCCCTTGAGGTAGCTCAGGACTTGAGAGAAACAATCCAAAAGCAAATGCTATATAAAGGAATATTAAGTGTTCTGTTTAATGATATAAATGGCTGTCCCAAGTGGCAAGAAACATTTCTACATTTTTTTTTTCCTCTTCTTTTTAATGTAGTCCTGACAAGCTTGAAAATAGGGATGAGCATGGTGAGTGGGGTCTGGGCTGGAGAAGAAAAGAGGTGAAAGGGCCGTGGCCGGTTGATAGTCTTGGGAGGGGTCAGCTCTTTAACAGGCTTTTGGACTATATTTCCAGAAAGGGTTTGGACTGTATTTCCAGAAAGAAAAGTAAAGGAAAAAAGAGACCTGGGGGAAAAAAAAAAAAGAGAGAAACCTGCCATTAAGACATCAGTTAATTAGTTTACGAATATCCTTCGGCATTCTTTATGCCTTATAAGTCTGTTTGTGGTCTAAAATTTCTGTTGACTAAACCCATTGCCATCAAATCAATTGGGACTGGTAGTGACCCTCTAGGGCAGAGTAGAGCTGTTCCATAGGGTTGCCAAGGCTGTAATCTTTACAGAAACTGCCTCATCTTTCTCCCATGGAACAGCTGGTGGGTTCAAAAAACTTTCAGTTAACAGCTGAGTGCTTTAATCACTGTATCACCAGGGATCCTGAAAATTCTACTGAAGCTCTGTAGAAAACCTAAGGGAAATAAGTATCCTTTTTCGACCTTGATGGAATCCTCACATCTCATCTTCCTCACCATAGCCCCATGGGCAGCTCCCCTCTGGTCAATGCCAGCTTCTCTGAGGGAATTCATACAAGAGTTACATTAGTCAAAATTCTGGGTTGCAAGTGACAGTAACCCCAATGCGTACCGATTCATTTAGAAAAGTCCTTTTCTGTCCCCTCTACTTCTCTCGTTGTCCTTTCTGTACCACAGTGAAGAAAGAAAGACTTTCTCTACGTAGTAGATTCAAACCCAGACATACTGATGATCTTCTAGCTTCTTGACCCCAAAGATTCCAAATAGAAAAATTCATGGAAGAACTTTGATTGGCCCAGCCTAGATTATGTGTTCACCTCTGGCCCAATCACAGTGAAAAGAAGGTGTTATGATTGCTCTGACTTGGGTCACATGCTCCTCCCTGTGGCCTGAGGGGTGAGTGACTATTGCGTTTGTGCCCATTGGCCTGAATTTCAGCTGCCAGCACTTCCGTCTCATTGGCTAAGGCTCTGCTTGGCCACCAGAGCCCACTCTGTCCAGGAATTTGGCAAGGTGGGAGTGCTGAAGCGCTGAGGACGTCCTCTCTCCCAGAACCAGCCCTCAACCAATGGCTTGGGAGTGTCAGTGTACCCCCTGGGTAGGATACTTCTCAGGCATACATTCTGCACCATTGCCCAGAATTCCACAAAAGCCAACTCCAGGCTTCTTTCCAGTACCGGTTCCTTCAGCGTTTTTAGTATTTGCTTCTCGTTGTTCTTTCTTGCATTTCCTTCACTAAGGTTGAACATCTTTTTATACATACATTGTTTTCATAACAAAAGTAATCCCTAAAATGACAGGACCTTAGCATGGTAATTTTGGAGGGAGGTGGAGAAGTTCGGGGCACATCCTTTGCCCTTTGAAGTGTTATGAGAAGAACACCCCATCCGCCTTATATTCTCCAATCAAGATGGTGGAGTTGGTTGTTTTGTACATCTGCACACCCTGTGCTTTTCTCTAACTCTCATCCCCAAGGCTGGGGAGAGTTCTCATCTTGGGGTATGGTGATGGTGTGTGTGGGTAGAAGGTTCTGCCCTGGGTGTAACCATCTCTCTCTGTCTCTTCGTTTCCAGACACCACCCAGATGAACAACGCAGTGCCCACCTCTCCTCTGCTTCAGCAGATGGGCCATCCACATTCATACCCCAGCCTGGGCCAGATCTCCAACCCCTATGAACAGCAGCCACCGGGCAAAGAACTCAACAAGTATGCCTCCTTAAAGGCAGTCGGTAAGGGCTCCTGAGTGTGTCTCTCTCTGTTCTCTTTCTCTCTCCTCTTTCTTCTGCTCCTTCTAGAGCTCTTTCTGATAGTTTTGCTTCTCCTTTCTGTCTCTGCTTCTAACCCTATCCATCCCTTCTTCTTCTTCTTCTTCT